CGGAACGATTGATCTTCGGGGTGAAGAGGAAGGGGGAAGGAAGGAGGGAAGAATTCGCGTAGAATTTTGGTGAACGTCATCTACGTTACTAAATTGGCAGAATTTTTAAAAAATATTAGCGACGATAGAAAAAGAAAAAAGAAGAGATGCGTCAATCCTTAACCCTCAGTAGCCATTTAATTGGATTCTAAACGTCGATTTTAATTAATATATCAAATTTCAAATTACCCAATGATGCGTGGAATGTCGATAAAATAATTCTACGCCTTAATTTGCATACGATTTCTTATTTAGCGTTTCAAAGATGTCGTTGACTTTATGACAGAAGGCTTCGAATTACTATTTTTCTGTGGCAAATATATCCAAGTATAAAGGGTTAAATTACTCTCAATAGTTTGACTGTCATGCACATTTTATACGGGAGCCACGATAAAATTTCCATTATTCTTAGGATATAATGACAAAATATCAAATAATATGGCAAAGAAATGAATATTCTCTATTCAAAATTCTCTACTTATTTATGTTGTTCAAATATTCAAAAATTGGTTAGAATAAAGCAAATATAAATTTAAAAAATTAGTATGGCTGAACACTGGTGACCACTATGGTCCCACTGAGGAGACAAGCACCAGTCATTGATGACCACTACGGCAGTCAAAGTATTAGTGTACGGATTTTAAAGAAGCAGGATTAGCTAAATTTGGAAAAAAGATATTTACGATAACGAGAAAAGAGAAACTGAAAAAGAAGAGAGAAGAAATGTCATAAATTCTAAATTAAAATCGAGCATCAGCACAGAATTTTTATTAACCCCTAAGTTACCCTTGATTGCAATATATGGAGCTATGAAAAATAAAAAAAGAAAAAATACGAATAAAATTGGTTAATTATTTAAAAACATTCCTATTAATAACATACCAAGATAAATTCTTTCATCTACTATTAAAAATCCTTTTATTAATATCAAGTTTATATTTGTAACCATTTTGTCACGCTACATTCTCGTCCTTAAACCAAAGAATAACCATAAAAGAGATTTCATGGAAAAAGAAAAGAATGGTAGAATATGTACAAACTTTTACTAATAACTTTACGAATAAACAGGGAACTCTGAAGAACCTAGATCTCCGATAACCGAAACCAAGATCGATCGAGAACACGGATAATCGAGACCCGGTTAAACGAGGTCCTATTGTAATCATTTTACCCATAGGAAAATTGATTGCTTCATTGCTTCGTGATTAAAATTAATTTCCATATGTCTCTACACACGATCCAAGTCGATTGACGATTAATATGTCCGAATAGCCCCTCCACGTAAAGATCAAAAATGTAAATCCTGTCACCAAAAATTGCCGAAAGAATTAAAAAGAGCTTGGCAGAAGTCTCAGCTGCCACATCGATCAAACAAAGCATCAGTCGCATCCGCGGGCAGCTTTATGCTTAGTTGGCTCGCGTGTTCCTCCCGGAGCTTTATTTGATTTAAAAATCAGGGAAATTAAGTTTCATAAAGCAGCTGCTAAACGATCTCAACGGACTGCGAAGAGCAACTCTGCTAACCACATCAAATGGTCAGAAAGTTCTCTTTAGTCACGACCAGAGCCCGTTCCCTTCTCTCCGGTGTGTGCTTAGACAGTGCCTAATTGACTCGTTTAACCGGCCACCCCTCACCTCCCGTGTCGATCAGCTGCTTCGAATTTCTGCGTGTACCCCCGGCTGTCACACGCGACCAAAACCGTAATTAGACATTTGCTCGTATTCCGAACGCAGGTAGGACCTATGAACCGTTGATTTTTCCCCTGAACAGTAGCTGGACTGAGACGTGGCAGGCCTGCACGTCGTAATTACGGTGAATTTCATTACCGTGAAAGACAGGCGAGCTACCGATCGCGTGAACGCTCCAGAGGCTCGAGTTAGACGTTTCTCCTAAGATCGCGTTTAGTTATCGCGATGTTTAATGCAAGATCCGATAAGGTTACGGGTTTCTCATGCGAGACAGCCGGTGCGAGATGCACGGAACCCCTGCCGCAAGATCATCGCGAAACCATCGTCAGCTTCCCCGATTTCCAAACCCACGCAGATCCATCGATATCCTCCCTACCACTTGACACGATCCAACGTCTCCACCTCGGTTCCACGAATCCTAGACGAATGCTCGAAACCTGGCCAGCTTGTACCCTAGCGCTGATAGCGGACGATGAGGCCCCAACCCGGGTTCCCGGCTCCGCTCTAAATCAATCTCCGTCGCTAAATAATAAGCATCGAGTTAAGGCAGAGCCTCGAGACGACGTGGACGACGCTGGACGACGATCACGGATAATTACACGCGCGGAAATTGCGGCTGGCCCAATCTGCGTCCGGTGGTCTACGTCTCAATACACGCGCGCCTCTTTCCCCATTCTACACCCTCCCCGGGTCCCTCTTCCACGGTGTTCGTTCCTGACCTGTACCAGTGGCCAACCGCACGCACCGTCCAGGCCGGAGAGAGAGAGAGAGAGAGAGAGGAGAGAGAGGGATGGCCAGAACGAGAGAGAAGGGAATCGACGAACGGTGGACTCGCATAATGCCCGGGGTGCTCCGGGGCCCAGAGTGCGCTGGGCCCTCACCCCCCTCCCTCTACCCTAAGTATAGGGCTCGCTTAACGATGTTTGTTTTATACATTGGCAGCCTGTTCACCGAACCTGTAATCTTTCTAAACGAGATATTACCCGGGCCCGTCCGCGAAAAACGAAGCTGCCTGCCTTCGTGCACAGACGACAGGGACTTCGCGCTCTCCTCCGGGACACGGGCGCTGGGATGCGGACCCAACAGCCGAAATTGGGCCCACCACCGCCACAAATTACTGGCCATTCACGGGTTCCACGTACGTGGCCACGCTCGGGCCACGAGATGCACGAGGAATTGAGAGCGAGCTGTCGGGGCAGTTTCGGTCTGGGTCCTCGGCAGTTTGCGACTCGAGAGACTGGATGGAGTTTCCAGGGATGCGGAGAATCGATCCTGTGACTGGGTTTGACGATTAAACAGTCCACGAGTATTTGACAGAAGCTTCGAAATTCTCGGGAACCGAAGATTTACGTCTGAGGTTTGGAAATTGGGGATGAAACATTTTATTTCTGAGAATTGGAATTTCGAATATTTCTGCGCAAATGGTCGAGGAACAATTTACTCCCTTCTCTCCTGGGTCTGAATATGTACCACAGGAGAATGGATCCTGTGACTGGGTTTGACGATTAAACAGTCCACGAGTATTTGACAGAAGCTTCGAAATTCTCCGGAACCGAAGATTTACGTCTGAGGTTTGGAAATTGGGGATGAAACATTTTATTTCTGAGAATTGGAATTTCGAATATTTCTGCGCAAATGGTCGAGGAACAATTTACTCCCTTGTCTCCTGGGTCTGAATATGGACCATAGGACAATGGATCCTGTGACTGGGTTTGACGATTAAACAATCCACGAGTATTTGACAGAAGCTTCGAAATTCTCGGGAACCGAAGATTTACGTCTGAGGTTTGGAAATTGGGGATGAAACATTTTATTTCTGAGAATTGGAATTTCGAATATTTCTGCGCAAATGGTCGAGGAACAATTTACTCCCTTCTCTCCTGGGTCTGAATATGTACCACAGGAGAATGGATCCTGTGACTGGGTTTGACGATTAAACAGTCCACGAGTATTTGACAGAAGCTTCGAAATTCTCGGGAACCGAAGATTTACGTCTGAGGTTTGGAAATTGGGGATGAAACATTTTATTTCTGAGAATTGGAATTTCGAATATTTCTGCGCAAATGGTTTCCATTCGAGGAACAATTTACTCCCTCGTCTCCTGGGCCTGAATATTCCCATTTCTTTCTTCCTTTTTTTCTGTTTCGAATGGAGAACGATATTTAAAGCGCGGCATTTAAAATTCAAAGCTGCGTTGATTATTGAAACCGTGGGGAAAGAAAAGACCGTGGGCTGAGTAGAGGGGTGGAAGGGAAGAGGCAGAAAGAGCGATAACTAAATGCTAGCGGGGTATAGTCCGTCGTCAGTTGGAACCACGATGCAGATACACACGCGCATTGTGCGACCGACGTATGCTCTTTTCCGAACTATTATAGTTCGCCGACGTATCTGTCCCCGTGTTTTCCTCGCTTTCGAAACTACCCCTTTCACGTTTTCTCCCCTTCGTGCCTGTAAAAGTTTGCGCTTGAAAGGATTTCCAATCGTCGAAGGACTGGGGAAAGTGTGTGGCGGCCATAGAGGCACTGAATCTTTAAAACGCGATAAAAGGTGTTTCAGAACGGGCTATAGTCGTAGAAAGGCCACCGTTCCTTGCTTCATTTCAAGTTGAACCCTAATCACAGCGAACCTCCACGGTTTATGAATTAATCGGTGGATCCCGCGCAAGTGTCGCACGATGTTTATGCCTAGTAGGTGGTCGAAATTCGGTGCACTCGCGCGAATTCGCGAGCGAGTCCGGTCAGCAGTCGATCAGCGCGATTTTCTGCGGTTTCTCGCGGCGACTTCTCGTGTTTCGCCTGGCAGCCCGTCATTTTTCTCACGGCTCTTGCCTTACGGCGCTACCTTCCGTCACGAGGGACGCGGTCGTCAAGACTTATCCAACGAAATCGCGACACACCGCCCGAAATCGAACGTGATACAATTCCTGACTCTCCCTACTCGCTCAATAAGATCATCATACCGTTAATCACTTAGTTTCTATCGTGGAACACCTGGACAATGATCGCGCAGAGCCTTACGACCCTTCTGTCAACCTGGATTCGCGAGAATCCCTCAGTGGTTAGCGAAAAAAGCTACTGGAGCGAGACTGTGTATCAATCTAGCCCTAAGAAAGACCAAAATGCAATCCCTGCAACCTGGACAGTCGACTAGTACGAAAATCTCGTGGATACAATGAGTCTGACCGATGGTTAAGGGGTATATATATACTTGGCGCTAGCCATGACAGAGGATAGGTAAAGCAACGGCGATAGTTGTACAAAATTGACACTTACCGGCCACTCTTGGTGATGACCATTTCCGTGCCGAGCTTGTGGAACTTATCCCAAAGCTCCTTGCCCTCGAGTGTCACCTTGGGATCGTCCACGACCCCGTCCTCCTCAGGGTGCAGAGGAGGCACGAGGGGATGGTGTGGGCCTGCGAGGGGGTGATGCGGTGCCAGAGGGTGTGGCGAGGTGTGCAACATCCCCGGGGGTAACGGAGGCCTGAGTGGCCTCATCGCAGGCCCGCCGGGACCACCCTGATGATGGTGGTGCAATACTGCCGTCGCGGCCGCCAGGACGGCTGCTTCCTCTGGCGTATGCGGGCCCAAGCCTAAACCTGCAACACACATTTCCCTTTTCATTTCCAACATCGCGACGATAATTTCTATATATATATATTTCTGTATTTCCATATACAGTATGTCCTAAGAAAATGTATACACACTTTGCGTTTTTATTTTTCTCTTACGTTTACTATTATTACGTTTATGCAAAAGACATATTTTTTTATTACGTTTTTCAAAGTCTAGTCTAAAGTCAACAATTATTTTAAATGGGTTGTACCTAGAAAAGGAAAAATAAATTAGAAAGAATAAGGTATTAAAGTGTGTATACGTTTTCTTGAGACACCCTGTATTTATTTCTATATATATACATATACTTCTGCTAAATAATTCCCGCTAAATCGACGCGAGAATAATTTCTGGGCCCACCGTGTCCGATTCTGATTTCTCTATTTTTCTATATTTCTATATATTTCTATATATTTATTTCTATATATATATTTCTGTTAAATAATTCCCGCTAAATCGATGCGATAATAATTTCTGGGCCCACCGTGTTCGATTTTGATTGATTTACATTTACTAGGCCCCCAGCGCGATATCCTTGGTCCCACCCAGCGCGAAGAATCGTTATTATATTTAGCCTAAATGCTGACCGTTGTCGAGCTGAAATTGGGCCCAAATGTATGCACATAGCATTTCAATTTTTACTTCTGCATTCATAAATTACCGATAATTGCTCCAACCTTAAGAAGTTTATCTTCCTCCATTGTCGCCCGGCTCAGCAAGCGCGTGGAAGCTTTGACGGAATGAATTATTTCGTGGAAATAATTGCGGCGTAATGAGCCGAGGGTGAAAGTGGATTGGCGAGGGATTAAAATACCAGGAGGAAGCACGGAAGTTATTTATTTTACCGCGGCAATTGTTAAATAACTCGATACCCGGAACGATAAACTTTATCTTTGTTGGCTGCCGCGAATCGACAACAATACGCGCCGAGTGCCGGTTTGATAATGCGCATTTACAATTGCACGTCTGTTTGATTAAAATATTATTAACGCTTAATTCCGGCCGAATTAACATAGTCGCCGCAAAAATCACAGCCGCGTATCACTTTTCGCTCTCGTTTCTGCCCGTCGTGAACGCGTGACGGAGAAACATCCCGATGAGCATGCGTGCGCGATCTCCGTTTAATAATTAAACACCGTGAAATGGCTTTTTAATTATCAATGGCCCAGTTTTAACCGAGATTTATCCCAACGTCGGTCAAAGCGTACCTGATTTCGGATTTACCGTGACATCCGCCATTGGGGGCGCGATTCTTCGGCGACAGGGGTGCCACCTGGTGTCAAAGAAGGTCTAATTTTTCAGAGGAACGGAGAAATCCTGGGGACTATGGTCGTTTCAATCGCGATCGAGTGGATGGATTTCAGAGAGCAATTGGTTCGACTAGAGATTGCTCTATTGACTCCTAAACGCGTCAGGTCTATTTTTAAGGCGTTGTGTACGAAGAAGTCGAAGAAGCTGCTCGAGGTTTTCGTGCACAGAGCAAGAGGAACGGTCTACCTTCCGGCAACTTTCCAACTTCTTCCAGCGGGGAGAACGAGGACAGGGGGTGGAAAAGTAACCAGTAGTTTCACCGGGGGTTGTCAGTCGATCCACCCTCGCGAAGTTTAAGCGGCTGTCTTTCACTCTTTATCCCTTGATCTCGTCGATTCTTCGGCCTCGAATCCGTCGTCGTGTCGTCGATCGTGTTTCAATTGGCGCGATTATGGGAGGAATCTTTTTAGTAATCGGTGCAGGCTTAATAAAGGAGCATGTTTTTCGATAACCTTCAGTTGGGGTCCTTTTATGATGGTCGAGGAAATCGGGGTGGGGTGCTACAATCGCTCGGTTCTTGAGTAGATTGTTCATAGTTACGTAGGCTTGAGTGAATTTTTAAATTAAAGTTTTTAATTCAAATCAAAATTTTTTCGTTTTAACCCTTTGCGCTCGAGAAGTGCCTTTCAGTCGCCATTTGATAAAATTTCGAAGCTCGATATTCGTGAATATGTCAAATTTTAAATAATGTAACGGTGTGCGAGGTATCGAAATCAAATAATTCTAAGTGTTAATTATCATACGACTTCTTATTCACTGTTCAGAAAAATATCGTCAGCTTTGTAACAGAAAATCTTTGAACTCCTATGCAAAGGGTTAAATGTGAGTGGGTATTTGGTCACTATTTAGATTCCAAAAGGAATTTATGAATATCACAGGTGGTGGGTATTGTATTCCCTGATTATTAATTTTTAAATGGATCTGTAAATATCGTAGGACTTATGGGATAGGTATTGAGTGGACGTTGATTGGATCTTGGGAAAATTTTCTACACGAGTCCAGAAGGGTACTATTGTGTTCATTGTATAGATCCTTTTAAGTATATTTTTGATGTAGATAGGATAAAGATTGAGTAGATATTGAAGATAACTTTAACAAAATTTCTAAATATCTCGAGTAGTATCGCATTCATTGAATAGATTACAGATAATAGTGAAATGGGAATAAAAATATTTTGAATAAATTTTTAATATATAGCAAAGATTGAGTAGCTATTGAATATTTCTCAGGACAAATTTTTAAACATCTCGAGTAGTATTATGTTCATTAATAATAATGAAACAGGATTAAAAATTTTTAATAGAATTAAAATATATGTATACGTACTAGAAATTGAATAGCTATTAAGTATTTCTTGAGAAAAATATTTAAACATCTCGAGTAGTATCATATTCATTAATAATAATGAAACAGGAATAAAAATTTTTAATAGAATTAAAATATATGTATATGTACTAAAAATTGAATAGCTATTGAATATTCCTTCAGAAGAATTTTTAAAGATCTCGAGTAGTACCATATTCATTGAGTAGATCATAGATAATAGTGAAATGGGACTTGATAAATTTTTAATACATATATACATAGTAAATATTGAGTAGCTATTAAATATTTCTCACAAAGAATTTTTAAAATTCTCGAGTAGTATGCTATTCAATGATAATACTGAAATAGGATTTAACAAATTTTTAATAGATATATACACAGTAAAGACTGAGTAGCCATTGTACCTTTCTTGAAAACATTTTTTAAACACCTCGAGTAGTATTATACCGATTAAATAACCTATAAATAATTCCTAAACAGAACTCAAACAATTTTAACTACATCTTTAAAGCACCTAACATAAACATTAAATAATTTTTAAAAATAATTTTTGAACACTCGATTTTATTCTAAATAATCCTATGTTTATTGACTAATCTTTCAATTTTTCTCCACATAGACTACCCTAACCCTCTAAATATTTACTAACCTAACTTTCGATAAAAATCCGAATAGGATATTTCGAACAAATTTCGAGTAGCAAATAATATATTATTACTCAAGAAACTTTCTCCATCTGCTCCTTAGTGTTTCCTCATTAATCACGCAATTAGCCAAATACTTTCCGCTGCTCGAGCAGCTGTACCCTATCGTACTAATGTTCGCACAAATAGAATCTTTATTTATCAGTTCAGGGTACGAGTCTCTGCGACGTCCGTGTGAAATCATCGTAAATTCGTCGGCTCCTTTTCAAGTAAATTGAGGCTGAATGAGAACCGACACTTAAGATAACGAAAGAAGACGCAGGCGACTACGAAATTCCTATTAGCGGTGTCGTCCATCCGCTTCATCGACCGTCGAAATTTATCGATATCCACGGAACGATATCAGCGATTCAATTAACCGGATTGCCGTTTAATTTTCAATTAACGATACGCAAAGCCGGCGAAATGGCAGAAAATCGTGGGGATTCTAACCGGCGAAAAAATCAGCACAAACTCCGGCGAAAGTTCAGCCGACCGCTTTTTCATGCGAACAATTTCATTATTTACAGCAGCCTATCCTTCGATTCCCGGCGTGCTTCCTCTACTTCCGACCAATCGCGAACTACCTGTTGCGTTGGGGGAAAAAGGAGAAAATAAAAAAATAGAGAAAAAAAAAAAGGAAAATAAAACAACCGCCACTTTCGACTCGCCAAATTTCGTTCGACCTCCGACCGGTTACAAAACTACACTTGGCCGAAAAAAAAAAAAGGTTAACTACCGGGTATCCTCCACTTTTATTCTACTTTATCCGATTGCAACGAACGCAAACACCCCTGCTGCGCTCTCCCGTTACGCGAATTTTCTGCATCCCGATCGCGGTCGTTTCGAATTTCATTTTTTCAAGGCATCGCGTGATTTTTCATAGCCTCTGTGGATCTGTTGGTGATCCGTGATTATTTTTTAAAGCAGGAAGAATATTTCAAATATTTTCGAGCGATTTTTCTTTGAATTTTTGGTCTTTTATTCCGATCCCAATTTTTTACTGGAACCAAACGATTTTTTATACTTTTTGTTGAGCTTTGTTGGTGACTGAGAATTATTTACTTCAACAGGAAGAATATTTAAAATGTTTTGGAGCGATTATTTTTCTTTTTTCTTTTAATTTTTGGTCTTTTACGCGAATTTTAATTTTTCATTGGAATCGCACGATTCTTTTCGTAGATTTTGTGGACCTGTTGGTGATGGGTGATTATTTTTTAAAGTAGGGAAAATATTTAAAATATTTTAGAGCGATTTTTCTTCGAATTTTTGGTCTTTTATGAGAATCCCAATTTTTCATTGAAATCGCACGATTTTTTATATTTTTGTTGAGCTATTGATGATTGAGAATTATTTTCTTCAATAGGAAGAATATTTAGAATATTTTGGAGCGATTTTTCTTCGAATTCTATATTTTTGAAAACATTGCTCAGTTTTTTAAATTTTCTACGAATTTCTTATGTAATTATTTTTTTCAACTCGTTTATTGGTATTTTGCAGTGCCATTTGTAGCTATTTCCCTTGCCAATTATATTTATAAAAATCCACATTCTCGATTTTCCATCGATAATAAATAATATTTCATGCTCCTCGGAAGTTCTCAAAAGACTGTTAATTACCCTCTTAAAATAAAAAATGCTTTTAATATTCCATATTAACGATCT